TTCTCCCCTCTCCAAATTACCAAATTACCCTCAACCGTCGATGCGTCTCAAATTCGCCGGACGATGATTCCCCAATCTCAAACCCTAACCCTAACCCTAATTGTCTCCTTCCTATCCTCCGCCTCCGGCCACGCCGCCGCCGCTCCTCACCCTTCCCCCTCGCCGTCGCCGGCGAAGACCATAATGTCCGATCCCTAGGAACTGACCGCCACCCACCGCCTCTCTCCGAGATCTTCCGCCGATACCACCGCCGCCTCCTCCAGCGTGCCCTCCGGCCGCATTGACTGCCTCGAAACCCGCGCGCGGATTCCCGCCGGCGAAGAACGAGGTCGAAAAGCTCAATTTGGGGAAGAAAATGGGGATAGTGTTCGCCGCCTCCGCGATCTTGCTGCAGGTTGTGCTTGGAAGTTTTCTTGTTTACAAGAGGGTTCAGCTGAAGAAATTGGATCAGAGAGGGGCTCGATTGGTCTCGGCTTCGGGTCCTTCTTGATCTTGGTTGGATCAGGATCGGGGATTTTGAAGAGAACACTAAATTTGGACGAGGGGTTTTAAGCAAAATGATATTTTTCAGTGGGGAATGGGCGGAAATTGCGATTTGGGTGTTAATTGACAAGAAATTTGGATTCGGCTGAGGTGGGGGTTGCTTCTTGTTCATCTTCGTTCATTTGATTCTCTGCATTGGGATTGAGATGGAAAAAAGCTTGGACTCTTCAGCGGCTACTGGTATGGAGATTGTCCCCTCTTTGTTGGGTCCTTGTAGAAATGGGTAAAATGTTGAGTCACTAATTGGTGTCAATTTCTTATCTCTGGTTGTGTTAATACTTAATATATACACCATTGTGAATATATAGTGAATTAACCATTTTGTTTATCTCCCTTTTGATATGTTTTACATTTGATTCCGTGCAGTGTTCTTAAACCTTGAGAACATTACTTTTCACGTATTATTAAGATCTAGTGTAACCATTGTTTATGGCGTATGGGCATAGATCATGGTTCAATTCATATGTTTATGAGATTAAAATTATGAACGTTTGGGGATTTTATTGATAATCTTTTAGTAGGGCTCTGTATGCGATTGTTTTACGCTTGTTGTTGGGTCTGTTCAGATAGGCATTTAGTCATTGACACTTGCATTCTAGAGTTGTGGTTTGTAGGAGTATATGGATAAAGGAAAAAACTGTTTCACATGGTGGAGAAAGAAAAAAAATAATTATAACAAGAAGTAAGAAGGAATAAGGGGAAAAAAGGACTTTCAAAATGTTATGATATGTAGCTCCTGAGATAAGTTCTTTCTAAACTTTTTATTTTAGTTTATATATAATCTAGTTGTCAAACTTGTATTCGTATCGGTCAATTAGGATTACCATATCGATTCAAATGCTCATGGCAACATTGGAATCTGCATATTTACATTTTATTAAGTAGCAGTTGACAGTTTCTTGAGTCATCTAGCTATGTTATATATTTTTGGATGCTATCAACATCATGGTGTACTCACTGCTTTTGCATTAACATAGTCATTTTCATGTCGGGATCTAGGAATTATTCTGCCAACAATAATGCTATGGTGCAATAAGAATATTGTATTCATGGAGTATGCAGGAGGCAAGTTATGCAGGATAGCTTGCAGAGAGGGGACACTTCTTCTAAGTTTCAGGATTTCTTTTTTATTATTATTTAAGTGGTGATGAATGAGGTTTTGCTAAATGTCGGAGGAGTAAAAGGTGTGTTAGTAGTTGGTGGAGGAGGCTAGAGGAGTTCGGAAGAGGTTAGAGGATGTGAAGTCAAAAACAGAGGAATCATGACCAAGACCTAGAGGTGCAATCTATGTAAGCGGTGTCTACTCTACTAGGCGCTCTCAAGACCTAGGTGGGCGGAGCGTAGGCTGCCTAAGTACTGCCTAGGCAGCAAGGCTTAGGCAGGAGCCTAGGCGAGTTAGGCGGGAGCCTCTTAAAACATTGTGACCTACTAATATTATAAAATATTTGTTGCTTCTTAGAATATATAGGTATTGGACAGATTGTAAATATCGTGACAACTGTTGCCTTCTATTATTGTTTGCTTGTGCTTGCTGTCTTCTGTTTAAGGTGATATAATGAGTAGAAGTATTTGGTGTTCTGTTGTTGTTTTTCTTCGTCAACTTACATTTAGTGTGATAACTGGTGGGTATAAATTATCCAGGATGAAACGTTTTTCTTTTTCTTTTTATTTATTTATTTACTGGGAGTATTTGGTTGGAGAAAATTAATACTTGCGTATGTTCTTTGACAGAGAAAATTAATACTACAAGTTCTTTAAAATGCAATCTATGTCTTCTGTTGTACTTGTATCTTCTTTCTATAAGTTGCTTAGAGCTTTCATTAATTTGAACATGGAAATGTATCCATTCTCTATCACATTGGATATGTTTGTTGTATTGATCAAGAGAAATGACTGAGCAGAGAAAGCCGAAGAATGCTGATCTAGGCATATCCATTCACTGTCATTTTTTATCTGGTTATTGGTGGCTGATTCAAGCAGTGCTGTCATACGACTGGGCGACCAATGCCTTTATCCAATTATTTGAGTGTTACCATCATACCATGTTAGAACCCACATAATGTTGCCAGATTCCTATGCAGCAAATGCACTTCTAGTATGAATTTATACACCAGCACTTCTTTAGAAACTAATCTACGCATCAAATGCTTTTGAGATATGTCCTCAATTATATGGGATATCTGTTATTTTTTGGATGCATCTTGCACTTCTCATTCACTTAAATGTTCATATACAATTTTGACATATTTATTTAGTTTTATTTATACAAAGAACTGTACTTTGGCGGAAAAATTTATTAAACAGTGACTTATATAAAATTTATATTAAGTTTAAATACACTTGGCTACTCTTTAGAAAGTTGAAGATTCAATACTTGTTCCTTTTGCTAGGTCTGAAATGTTTGGTAGGTCATGATTTGGAATATATGTAATTTGTATGTATAAATAACTGTTAAAATTTTTGGAAACTCAAACATGTTTATTTATGCATGTAAAATGAACTCCATATTTATTGGTATACATCATTTTTCATGTCGTCATGTCATCGCGTCCAATCTCCATGTTTTTGTTTGTGCAAGACTCAACAATTTTGTGTTGTGTCTAACCTAGAAGCTAGACCATTTTGGGCAGAAAGACTGCTTCATCTTAGGAGAAGGGAGCTTTGACATCTCCAATCCAAAGACAGGAAACATTAGATTATTTTTTTATGGCCCTTTTGGGCTGGATTGTGGTTTGTCATCATCTGAAGAGCTTATAGTAGACTGAGTGCACTTGTTCACCCATGATGGACGAAGCAGTGACAAAATGGAGAATTACTGAAGGTTTGGTTGTTGAATTGAAGATAACAAGTTCTAGCTTGATCAATTAGTTAAAATGAGATCCAGCATGTATATATGAATCCAGCAAGATGTACGAGAAATTGGCTTCTTGCTACCTGGAAAATTTTCAACCTGAGAAGAGCTAAGGTATGAGATTCTTACTCAACAATGAGCTTTAGACCTTCAAGAGAGAAGGCTTGGCTTTCATATTTGAGATTAAATTGAAAGTAGGGGCTCAATTATTGTGCTTGGTTATATTGAACATGAGAGGACGAAGAGAAGTGGAAGAGGTGACTATCCTGTTACACCAAGTGTGGTAAAATCTTTTGCTTGAGAACTGGTGAGGGTGCAGTTTGTAGTGTCTAGCATTTTTTAAAGTAATTCATGGCCTAATGTTTTGTTACTTCCTGATATGTCTATTTATTTTGATGTAACTGTTACATGATAGTTATGTATGAAATGAAGTGGAGTGATGCCACCTTTATACTCACAATAATAATATTTCAATGGTGGGTGATCTGGTGAATCATAGGAAGTTAGGAACCAGTAAAATGGCACCCTTCTATATTAAGTTTGAGTTATAAGGTTGTGCTAAATGCGACATATTCTATGTGTAATCGTTTTAAAATCATGGAATGAAATTATGTAAATAATAGATATATGGTGCTAGTAGGAATGGAGAAGGGGTAACGTGACATATCATATTGTGTACCTGATGTTTTTAATTTCCTTTCGATTATGAATGGTCCAACCTCGCTTTTTCTTTTATTTTTTTAATATTTTCATTATGTTTCGACGATAAACTTGTGTGTGCTAGTTGGTCCTTGAAAAGGGTTTTTGATATATGATGGATAAATAGCATTTTAGTAGAGCATCTTTCCTATTTGTATTTCCTTTTGTTATTATTTCTGAGTGTTTTTCTTAAAATGTTGATGTAAGTAAATTGGTGACGGAATCAATGAAGTTATACCATGTCATTTTCAGTAGTATGCTAATTGAGGACTCAGGGTGTTCATCTGGTATGATTTTCAGAAAAGAAACTGCCTTCTCGCCTTTATCGTCGAGTGCCTTGTTTGAGGAGGGACTTTCTTACAGACTAGAGCCCCGTTTCTTAAGCTATGGAGTAGGTTTTGTTAAGTTATTCAGTAAAGTTAATGTTGTTGTTCAAACATTTAAAGTATACAACGGATAGTTCTATGGTTTGCGTAGAATTATTTGGTAAACATCTTTCCGTGAATAAGAGGTAAGTTTGTCTTGGATGTGGGTTGATGAAGATAACTCGGCTTTTGTCTTGTGTACATTTACTGTTTGCAATTCTTTTGAACGCTTTCCTTTTCATAAGGAAATGGATTTTCCCTACTACGTACCATCATTTTTTTATCCTAACCATCATATTATCTGGTGGGCGATCATGATAAAGCGAGAAGGAGCGTAACAAGAGGTGAGAAACGGTAACTGATTGTCCTCATACCTCTTTGATATCTAATGTATTCATAATTACATTGTGAGAGTAAGGGGCATCAGCTGAGGAGGCGCATGCAAGAGATTGGATTTTTGAAAAGAGGCAAAAAAAAAAAAAAGAGAGAGGAGAAAACGGTAAAAGCATCAGTATCTATATCCTTTTGTCCCTAAGGTCCCTATTGATTGCTGTACAAATTCAAGGGCTGTTTCCTGTCCTGTGACCCGTCAGGTTATCAATTTTGCAGTTGTGCCTCCACCACAGGGGCTTTTGATTCTCATGGCACTAGTGAAGCTCAGTCTAGTATCATTACTGTCTTGTACATCAAATGATGCCCATTTGTCGGTTTATTGTTGTATCAGTAGAATGTTTGAACTGTTGTATCAGTTTATTCTTTTTTGCGAGGGATTGGATAGTCATGTGACGTCTGGACTTGTTGGATCAAGAAAGATAATAAGATGCAAAGGTGAGGAAACATATTTATTTGTATTGAAAAGAGTTCATACTTCATAATTTATATGCGTAGCTGCTAATTGAATCTTCTTAGTGTTCAGGGTTCAACCTGTGCCTTATCACTTGCAGACCTGGATTTATTTTGCAGTGAGTGCAAATAATGTGTTTGATTACCTCGTCCTTTGTAAGCTCAAGAGTAATCCAAGCTAAACATTCCCACCTATATTTGCACTGAGTACGAATAGATATATTAAACTAAAGCCTGTGGACTGTAGCTCTAAGATCATCAGTTCTGACAAATTATCATTGATGTGATCTCCTATTTGTAATTTCTCGCTGGTGTTGCTATGCTAGTTGGATGGTTACCGAAGGTGTTGAGGTTTGGAATCTCTGGATGATTATTAAAGGTGTTAGCTCCAGGCTCAATCAACAAATGTTGTCAATTTAACAGTTCTATTGTACCTCCTGGTGAATAGAGAATCACCACAAGCCTCATAGTTTTGGCAGCCTAATTCATGCTGCAAAAGGAGATGGGCATGAAGTGAGTAAGGAACATTTATAAGCTTAAAGTAGATGAGAAGGAGGTTAGCTACCAAGCGCACAATGCTTAAAAAGCAAAAATCATAAGATCAAATACTATTGGTTGCTTAATTTTGAATTCAGTTTGTTATTTCTTGCAAGTTTCCAAATTAGACGGAGGCTATGTTAACGCGTTTGAATATATATATATATATATATATGAGAAAAATGGGTATGCTTGGTACTAAGCACATGTTTTTTTGCTTGGTAGTACGGTGGTATTATCTCTTCTACTCATTAAAATCGAGGCCCACATTCACATGGGTTGAGAAGTGGTTGAGAATTGGAATGAGTGGATGAGAATATGACATCTCACTACCAAGCATAAAATTTATGCTTGGTACCAAACATACCTATACACACACACACAATAACTGTCTTTCTCTTAGAGTAAATTAGTAATTAAAAAAATGCACTACATCTACACGGATCTAGCTGCAGATAATTTTATAGTGGTTCGGATAAATTTTATGTCTGTTCTTCCTTCTCTCGACGGGGCAGTCACACTATGATAAATGTTTTGCTGGATTACAAATCCTAATCTAGTAGGCTTTGGAAGACACACACCCTAAATTACTCGCTAACCTAGTCGGGTAAACCCTAACAAACTATCACCGGTGTATAATCCTAACACAAAGCTAGCAACCCTCAATTAAAAACAGCTTGAGTACGCCGGCGATTTGATAAAAAATGATTGTAGAAGAAAAGATTGTTATCACGCAAAATATTAGTCAAGAACAAATAAGAAACAATCTTAGAGCCCTTTTTATGATCAAACTATCGTGAATGCTTTTCCCTTTTTTTGCAATAAACCTCTTTTGTCCTTTTGTGTCTTCTTGTTATCTTAAGATTCAAAGTATCTCTTTGTTGGCGTCCTGCTCCCGGGTCGGACAACTGCATAAATGTCTTTGTCATCGCCCGTTGGAGTGGACCCCATGGGTGAAATTTTTATTTCGTTGTCGATTTTGCGATTAAACATGTCATTCAGTTGGTAACTTTTAATTTTAATTTTAAATTTGATTCTTCAATCGGTGACGCTTCTTGCTGCAAAAATATTGTGATCTTAAAGACTTTTTTTTTCCTCTTCTTTTTTGATTGGAAAATGATAGAGGTACACCCTTAGGCACACCATCAACCACACTCCCTCCTCTCATTTTTTTTTTTTCACATGTAGGATCGCTGCACTGTAACAAGAGGGGGAGTGTGGTTGATGGTGTGCCTAAGTGTGTGCATGTAGCGCCTCCCTTTTTAATTAAAGGTTCGATTTTTTGCTGTTGATTGACTGCACGAAAACTATCTTTGAGGAAAAAAAAAATGAGTTGAACTTTTGTGGAGTGTTTTAACTATTAAAATAGTAATTGTAGTAATTTACTATTAACATAGACAGATAAAAAATTATCTGCTTATATATATTTGCGGTCTTGCTCCCCAAGTGAACAAAGTTTCTGGATCCGCCCCGGTCCGTATGCTTTTATCTAGAAAATACGTGCCTGCGCTGTGAAGCATTACACACACAAAGCCCATTTGTTGGTTTACTTCCATCATAAGCATCTTAATAGCTATTAATTCCTTCACTCTCTCAAGGCAACTTTGTGATCGATGGACCCATCATGAGCTTCATGAATGAACCTGACCTGTCATCGCTAGCTTCAGCCAGAGAGAGAGAGAGAATCTCAAACCCAAAAACTGATCCCCCCAAAAAGAGTTCAATTTTTATCCGAAAATGATCTTTGTCTCGCGGGATGGCATCACGCGGCCATCTCGCGTGAGACAATAGGGAGGGTGGCCCCCACAACAACAGCTGTGGGGGCCACCCTCCCTATTGTCTCACGCGAGATGGCCGCGTGATGCCATCCCGCGAGACAAATAGAAGAGCCCATTTTTATCTCCAAGCCTAAGCTTGTCAGTGGCCAAGTCCGCAGGCCTGCACGTTTGTACCCAAAATGTGCCACTTTCTCACAATAACAACTCTCCTAGCCTTTTAAAAGGGCTATTTGGTCAACCGCTTAGTCTCTGCATTAATATCTCTCTCTCTCTCCTCATCATCACGGCAACGAGCTGACAACAGCCTGAAAACCTCCTAGATCCTACGCCTCATGAGCCTGCACAATCATAGTGGTATCTTTTTTTTTTCCTTGAAAAAGGTGACGGTAATGGTTTAATGCAAATACACATAGGATACTTTACTACCCTATTGGTAAAGTTGTGTATTTATGACACAACTTGGAAAGTTGTTGTCCACCTCATCAATTTTACTTTTATACTTTTCTTTATTTGTTTTTTATTCCATTGGAATCATAAAACACTTGTTTGGTTTGCAAAATGAAACTTTAATTGTTTGTTTGGAAAGTGTAAAAAGTGGTCCCTACTCAAATGATCATATTGGTTGGAATTATTTTTTATTATTTTTTCCTGACTTTAATGTCAGCTTTCTCCTAAAATCATGTCTTTTTTTCATGAAATCACTTTACAAGCCACATCAGCATATGAAATCACTTTACACTATTTTCACAACTACAAACAAACAATTGAAAGTGGTGAAAGCTGACATTGGGACCCACTTTTTTACACTTTACATCCTTTTACATGGTAAAAACATACAACCAAACGGCACCTAATTATCTTATTAAGACTTCAGTGCAGCTCTTCATCAGCTGCACAAACGGAAGATGCCTTTCTCTATATACGCTCACCCGCCTCATTGGTTCTTTTGATCACGTGCGCTGATTGCGGTGGTTGACACAGATTCAGATCCTTTTTGTTGTACATGGACAGTTGAGAAGTCGGTTGTTTATATCTTTTAATGGAGGACGATGATTTTGTATTAATTATTAAAGGAGTGTGACTCATAGTGATAAAATATCCATTGGTTGACCACTAAATAGGTAGTGCACTGAAAGGGGATATATAGCACGTCATCAATGCACTTATTTCCTGGTTTATCGTTCCCGAGACAGTAAATCATAGTTATATTTGGAATAAACCATCCTAAATAAAGTTGAACAATGGGTGGTCCTGAGCTTTGGATTGCCCTAACCCAATCTAATTTTGGTTACTCCTTATATTAAAAATTTGGTACGAATAACAACGATAAAAATGAATACATATAATACAATTTAGCGTTCTATATTGGGATCAAACTGATAATATTCTCATGCAAAATCAATATTCATATAAGAAGATATTACATTTGTGCTACAATTTAATTCAAAGAAAAATACTTCTCCTTGATTTTTTTGAAGCGAATTCTTCAATTAAGTTATCATACTCAAGTTTCTCCAAGTATTCATTTCAACTGATATTATTGCCAATCCATTCAATCGTTCCTGTGACATGGTAGTACGAAGATAACTTTTTATCAATTTTAATTTGGAAAAACTTCTCTCCGCCGAGGCAACCGTACGTATCAGGGATAGTTAACAAAATTTGATAAGCCACTCATTCCAAAACATCATAACTCCTAATTCAATTATTCAACAACAAAGATTCAGCCAAGATTCAAAATCAGAAATCTTAATTTCATTGCAAAACATCAAAACCCTAAATTTCTGTCCAAAAAACCCTAAAATTATTTAGTTAAAAAAATTTACCTGATTGGGTTGGAGGAGTCAGCGGGGTGAAGCCTGAAGGACGGGTCCGATGGGAGCAGAGTAAGGTCGGTCCGTCGGTGGCTCGGGAAGAAGGAGAGGAGTGGTTTTCTCTCTTTCTTTTTTTTTTCCTTTTTTTTGTGAGCGGAACAAAGATGGGAAGGAGAAGAGAAAGTGCTAACGTAAATAAAGGAGTTGGGTAGGGTTTTGGGTATTCATTAGAGTTCTTTTACAAATAGAACCCCTAACAATTTTTGCATAAATGTCATCTTACAAACTCCACTTTAAAAATCAAAGATAATTACAGTTTGAGGGATGAAGGAGCTGAAGGGATGGATTGCCCCCACGACCCTGGGTTGCCCCAGCCATGGGGCTTGGTGGGCTTACCCCAGGGTCGGCCCTGGCTACAGGGACCAAAAAACATGGGACCCTACATAGGACATGTGAGATACCGGCTCCATGTCCCATGATGCACCCATGATGCATTGTTCATGAACAGTACATCATGGGACAGGGGGTCGGCATCTCACATGTCCCATGTAGGGTCCCATGTTTTTGGATCCCTAAGTCATTTTTCATGAAACATTTATAGTTGTAGTTACTTGGTTCATTTTAGAAGTTTGTAATGTGGCATTTACAATTGCAAGTATATATGGATTTGTGGTTTACTGGTTCTTTGGATTTCGTTGAGTGTAGGTTGCAATTGGAACCGCGACAATCCCCATTTATAGCGACAAAAGATTGCAACTACTACTTGTGTTGAAATACGAATAAGTTGTCGACATATCAGGAACTCTTTTCACAGCCGTAGTTGCAACTACACTTAATCATAAGTAGCACTAAAATAAACATTTCAACTGATCCAAAATGTCTCAATCGTATAGAGATTGAAACTATACATGATCCCTGCATTTGAAGCCAAAATAAATAGGCCCTCTCGAAAGCAAATTGCTTCACCCCGATACAAAATTTTCAATCCTGCAAAGCTAAAGAGAGACCAAACTGGCAGTCAACATCTCTAACCCCAGAGAACCTGAGACCTGCCCATGTCGTCCAAGAGATAGAAGACTAGGAGATTGATCCAAGCATAAATTGCAGGCTTGGGCCCATCGATGGCTGAAGGTGGCATGCACTGGCGATGGGCCCACAAAGGGTCCAACACAGTGCTAAAATCCATGGCAATGCCATGGCCACAGTTTTGTGTCAGAGGCATGTTAAATGTTAAATGGCTTGGTGAATGACAACAGTACTACACATATTGAAGCCCTTGGGGCCTCACCCTGAGATGACAGTAACCTCACCTGCTACAAAACGCAGACATCCCCGAGTTCAGCTCAGTTTGAGGACCATATGGGATTTTAATCTCAGTTTTAATCTGGGATAAGACCTAGGATCGATAACTTCACAAAATTCTAATATTTGTACAATTATAGAGGCATTTTGTAGAAAAGGACTGCAAGGTATCATAGGATAACTTCACAAAATTCTTATTCACTTGGGCATGCCACCTTATATTAGACAATCATTTTTAACGACACATAATGCCTATTATTTTCTTATACAGAGAATTAGCATTAAATGCACGTGCAACGGATGCGAAAATTTAATCATTCCAAATTCTATGCAGAAGCGGCACTTATAGTAAAGTTTCATCGAGTTTTATAAGATATTTTTATGATATTTTTCTGTTTATTGGAGATGAGTTAGTTTTTGTTAGGTATAACATATATTTCATTTTGACTAGTAATATGATTTTAACAAAAGAAAATAGGGTATATCGTAACTTGGTGGATTATTTTCAAAATATCATCCTAAGAGCACCTCAAATAATGTGGATAAGAGGAGTATGTTTCATATTTTATCATTAAGTTATTATATTTAATTATTTTTAACCCCTTGACTTCTAATAATATTAGATTAAAACATATGGGAATTCTAATTATTGTATTTATATTCATTTATATCTAGTAATTTATTTTAAACAAGAACCTTATATTTTATATTTATATCTCTTACAACACATTGTGATAGATATTTAAATAGTAAGCACTATTATTGTATAGGTCAAATTTTTAAAAACACCACTTTTTCAAAATTATTTAGCAAAAACGACCGTTTGCTAAAAAAAATAGCAAAATCGACCCTTCTCAGATGAAAAGGGTCGATTTCGTTGTGGCGGGGGCCTAGGAGGCGTTGGGGCAGAGGCGACGGGGAGGGGTGGCAGCCGCGGAGGAGGTTGTGAATAAACCCCCGGAGCAGGCAAGGCGATGGGGGAGACCCGCGAGTAGTGGCAGCCAGCTCCGCGGGCGGGATGGGGGCTTCCTGCTCGGCACGATGACGGCCGGGAAGGAAGGCCGGAGGAGGAGAAGGTGGCGATGTGGCGGGGATGGTGTGGAGCGTGGGCGAAGGAGCATTGTCAGGCAACGACGAGAGGGCAAGGAGAAGCTCAGCGAACGACGGGGCGGAGAAGGCGAAGGAGAGAGCTGGGCGGACGGTGGCGGCGGTATAGATGTGGAGCTGGGCGAGGAGATGGTCGGGGATGGCGGAAGGAGGAGGCGGAGGGCTAGGAGGGGGAGAGAGATTGGGATCGCGATTTTTTGGGGGGTTAGGTCACGAGCGCACGAGAAAGAGGGTTGGTGGGGTCGGTTTTGCTTACACAAGAGAAAGGGGGTTGGTGGGGGTCGGTTTTGCTTATTTTTTTTCTCAGAGAATCGATTTTGCTTAATAAATTAAAAAAAGGTGTTTTTAAAAATTTGTCCTATTGTATATTCATGTTATAGCTTAGAATGGTCTAGAAAAAGAAAAGAGGAAGGCAAAGAAAATAAAGGGAAAATTACCTATATACCCCTCAAGTTTCTACCGGGATGTAAATTAAATGTCCTTCAAACTTTTTTGGCATCTCCACTAAGTTTCTAATGTAATTGTATAGGTGATATAGTGAGGGAGGGCCTTTATGGAGGAGAGAGCTGAACACGAACGTCTCAATAATAATCTTAAATCACAGCGCTATTTAAATCATTAGAAAATAGCGTCTAAAATAAACAATGAGAATTTTTTTTTTTACAAATATTTAGAATACCATTAGATAATACTGAATAATTATAATAAGTTTGCACCTGACTTTTGTTAGACTTCAGACACTTCTCTTTATTTATCACTAAATGATTCATTAAACCCCAACCAATGAAATAAGACATTGTTTATTCTCAGATAAGCAGCTCACAAGATTAATTAACATAAGTATCCAAAAATATAAATCCATTACAAGCCGCACACAAATTAACTTCTGACCCCCCAAAAAAAAAAAAAAAAAGGAAAAGGCAATATCCTAACAAGAAAACAATGGAACATGCCAGCTACAGCTAGCTCTGAAACCACTTTATTCTACTCCAAGCATCTTCCATTATCTGCAACACAGAGAACAAAACTCTAGTCATGAACATGTGACACCCGATTTAAAAAAAAAAAAGAAAAAAAAGAAGAAGAAGAAGCAACGTACGTAATAGTTGAACAGATTGAATCAAAACTAACCAGTGAGTGAAGTCATGAAGACCCATAGGGATAGAAATAGAGAGCTGAGTCTTAGAGTAAGAAGAAGAGGAAGAAGAAGAGGATCCAAGGCTTGAGCTCTCCCCCTCAAAGAAATCCCTCTCCTTCACCGGCCTTTGATTCTTAAAATCAGCTCCCAACACAAAACAGTGCTCTGCCTTCTCCTGCCTCTGCTTTGGCTCCCCCAGCCCCAGCGGCCTCAGCTCCCATGAGTTGCTGCAGAACCCAAACGAGTCACATCGACACTTACCCATCAAATAAAATGACAGAAAATTGATTCTTTTTTTCTTTTCTTTTTTTTGAACCTTTGAGGGTACAGTTGAGGGTAAGGGCTGATGCTGTTCTTGTTGCTGGTTGAGTTGATAGAGATTTCCACAGGCTTTCTTGAACGGTTCTTGCCTCTGTGCATGTGCCTCTCACAGTACTTAGAATCTGGGTACGCCTCTTTTGAGCACCTCCATTTTTTACCATCAGTTCTCCTGCACCTCCCGGGCTCTGGGTCCTCTGCTTTCCTCCCGAACCCATAGCCCATCTGCAGAAAACTCCACCCAGCTGCAAATAATCACAAAGGAGCCCAAGATTAAATCTTTTTTTATGAAGTTTGAGGGAAGGCCGTGTTTTGATAAGACCCAAGCGGGGGAGAAAAAGAGTTAAAATCATATTTCACGTCAGCGCCCCAAATCTCCTGCTTGAAACTATTTGTTTCTGATTCAGTACGCATCTAAACACGAGACACGTACGACGATCATAAACTAACAAAACTTTACACTTTTGTTACCCATAGGTATATTCGTGGTTTATTGAGAAATATACAATAGAAATCTCCAAACTCCCGTAAGTTTGAAAATGTTTTCTCTTAATATAAAGAGCAAAGAACGAGAGGCTACCTGTGGGTTGTGGGCAGCTGAGAAAGGAGCTTCTTTTAATGGGGAGGAGGAGGTCTGAAGGGATTGGGATGCCTGAGGCCATGTACTTGTAGATCAGAGCTTGCTGCTCTAGCTCTTGCCATTGAGTGGGAGTGAACGGATATCTACTGAAATTAAAGTAGCTATTGTTATTGTTACTATTTCCTCCATTCATCATCACCAGTTTCAGCAGAAAGAGAGAGGTAGAGAAAAGATGGGCTGGGTCTTGGAAGAGAGAGCTATGGCCGTGGGGGTTGTTATATAGGAGAACTGGTGAAAAGGGGGGCTATTTGCAATTTTTTAATGGTGAGATTGTGAGGGAATTGGGATTGTTTTATTTTATTTTATCGTTTTGAAGTGGGTTTTTGCAAAGGATGAGTCACTTCAGTCAAGAGAGGCAGATAGAGGGCTGCAGAATCTTCTCCCTGTTTTGGTTGCATGGATACTCTCTCTTTATCTAATTATTTCCCTTTTTCTTAGTAGCAAGATCTATTAATGTTATAACAGATTAATGCCTTAGAGAGGGATTTGTTTAGAAATGTGAGGGTCTCCTTCAAAAAAAACTTTGAGGAATATGGGTGTTGTAATTTAGAAATATAAAGATTCAAGGGTGTTAATGCAGGATTAACAAAAGACTTGGGGTGACCTCTTAGTGTTATTATATGTGCTTCAGCTTTTGCTAAAACTGTTGTTAGTGGAATTAATGAAGGTAAGTTAATATTTCTTGTTTACTAGTGCTCTGCGTTGTCAGAGCCTGCAGCTGATGCTGCCAAGAGGGTTGCTGTGAGATTTCTTTTGCATAATAAAAAACATGGAGTAATACAGTAGTAATGAGAGAGATTAGAGAGAAAAAGAACATGGTGAGCTTAACTCTTAATATTTCCTGTGCATGCTCTGAGTTTTAACTTACCAGCTGCTTCTCCTCAAGTTTAAGATTAGCGGCCGGGGCATTTTTTTTTTAAAAAAAATATGAAGATTCGAATGGCATTAAATAAATACTATTGATTAGAAGGGAAAATAGCTAATAGACAATTTAAAATATATTTTCAAAACCCTTGAGATTTTCATTTTTTTTCTCGCATAATTTTTTTTCTATGCTTTAGAAATATACAGTCCACACTTCTCAAAATAAATGAATTATATAATAAATGAGAAATATATAGTCAACAATTTCTTTTTTTACTCATTTATAGTTTTTTTTAGTTTGCACTGTCAGGGATCATTAGAATTAGATTTCGAAAAGACAAAAGTAGTAATGAGATTTGCATGCTCGAATGTGACTAGCATGATATGCTCGGAATGGACCCCCTCTACATCTCCTATAGTTTTATTTGTTGTGAGTAAATAACTTTTACTTTCTTCTGATAATAATGTGTCTTATAATAATGCAGACAGGTTTCAAAGATTCAAAAAGAACCTGACAGGGACGAAGAGTAAATGACTAACCCATGGCTATTTTTACCATCAGCTCGCACTGTAACTCTCCTTTTTTTCCCACCCGAAGCCTGCAGCCAGCTATAGCTCTGCCCTTTTTCTCAACTTGGAAAAAAATTAAATCTGAGTTCTCATCAGGTTTGAACTCCTTTTTTTTTTCTTATGTGTAGGTTCACAGGGGGTACTCAGAACTCTGCGCGCGCGCTAACTTTAATCTCTTTCCTCTGTCCTCGGTCTTCAATGTTTCTATCTCTGTATCTCATTGGGGGCGTAGAAAAAGCTGTGGCCTGAGTGAGTGAAGTCTGCACAGTTTTGGTACTCGATCTACTGCAAAAGAGTTGCACTGAAGAAAGACTAACTAACGCATTGCGTTGGCTTTGGTTGCCTCCCATTTGCCAACCCTTGATTCTTTATCACGTGGATGCAACTTGAACCACTCTCGTGTTTGAATTCTATACCTAATTGGATGGAGCTTAGTGATGTAGTAAGTGCATGGGGAGTCAATAAGTTTAGGCGCTTGGCATATAAATCCGAATTTTTTTTTTTTTTGAATCTCTCACTGGAACTCCAACAACGTTAAATGGGAATTAGTTCAGAAAACCCCAGTAACGTTTTGTTTTCTTCCACTTTACACCCATAACAATGTTAGCCCATTCCATGCATATATCAAGTTCCCAAACAAAGAATATTACATAAAAATCGTAGAGTGGTCGTTGAGGAATTAAGTGAAAAGGTTCCGGAATTTAATTGCAAACTTATTAGAGGCTTAGTAAAAGTTTCAAATTTTTTGGGATTAAATTCATAATGCCCATACTTATGTATTGGGTGTTCAGTGAAGTGTATATATCCTTAAAATTATGGAGAGTCCATTTGTCCTTAATCTGTCAAAAACAAACATTTCCTGTTTGAAATGAAGAAAGTTTGCCTAACTATATATGAAAATTTTAACAGATGATCATATAATCCTTATTAAGATCCAAGTTAAAAAAACAAACATTTCTCGTGTGAAATGAAGAAAGTTTGCTGTAACTATGAAAATTTTAGCAGATGATCAAATAATCATTATAAGACAAGTTTAAAAACTTGCAATGAGAGGTTTATTGACCTTTCTCTGTAGAAAGGTTAAGAAACAACTACTTTATTTGTGCATAAAATAGTAATAATTTTCGGTCAAAGTATAAAATTACAACCATCAAATCTTTCCATAACTTCGAAATAATAGTGTCGCGCGATAGGGAGACTTTAAAATAATACTAGAGCAATCTAGTTTTAATTGCACAAAATAAATATTTAAAAAAGGTTTAAAACAAAGATGCTCAAGCTATTCATAAATCAATTCTTTAAACAATTTTGAAGTTTTGAAGTAGTAAATAAAGAACTTTACAAATTTTCACTTTACAAACACTATATAAAAGAGTGAAATATTGAAAAACCTTATCTAGTATACTAACTAATTTAATATTTTTAATTATTCAAAATGATTTGCCTCATGCTTAAAGCTTATTTTGCCACACATTATCTTGGACTTGATTACTCATTTTGCAGCGGAAGTGAGAAATTAGCCATCCTGGCCAAATTTGCAAAAGTTGATTTGGAGAAGAGCTTTTTTGTGAGAGTTGCAGCTCTCCCCTGAGGGATCCAAGTGGGGGAGCATATATAAGGAACTGACAGAGGCAGCCTCTTTTGTTTTCTTTTGAACAGAACTGCAGGTTTAGGGACCCATCAAGTAATAAATTCTGTTTTTGAGTTATGCCACCTTGAAGAAAGACCGATAGAAAGTTATCATCTCTTATGTAATTATACAAAACATCATATTTTCCTACTAAATACAAGGTATATATTCATGACTAGTTTTATGAAACTGTTTCACTCTGTTAATTTTGTAAAATTTAAAAAAAAAAAGCCAAAACAAGAAATTTCTTTCATGTCTTAAAACTAGTCTCCCAAAATTTTTAACTATTTGGAAGTTCTACATATTTGTTTACGGAGACACCATTTTCATACTAAGAAGACTAGATGAATATTATTGATAGTGCGCTACGGTGCATCTGGAGCTCCCTGAAAATTGTTAGTAAAACAATTAAGGAGACAGAAATTCTGAGGCGTGAAACACTTTCCTTAAAGAAATATTTGCCCCCACTTGATATTCAAAGTTGCTTCGGGTTAATGCAAATTTTCTTCCCAGGATACAACAGAAAATGAAAATTCCAGTAAGCAAATCTGGAATTTTCCTTAATTCGTTGTGAAACAAGTTTGTAATATTGCAGAAGTTTTTGATAGAAAAGATTCAGAAAAAGAATTATTGTATTGATATCTGAAAATATAAACTATTTATAGATTTTGAAAAGGTGCTTCCAACAGTCACAACTTTTCAAAACACCCCTTAGAACAAACAGCCACTTTTCAACAGTCACTTGTCTTTTCATAATTTTTTAAAATTCGAAATAACATTAAAAATAAAATATATTCAATATATAATTATATATATAAAAAATAGAACATTTAAGCGGCAAGCGTGCAAAGTGCTAAGTGCGTCTAATAATCGCGTCAAAATCGCGCATTATTCGCGCTACCCGCACGCGGGTTTAGAAGCCTACACTTTGATCCATTATTCAAAGCCCAATAAGCATTCAATGCTTTTAAACCTCTAAAAGAATGTTCAAAATTCCAATGTGGGACTATCTTGTTTTTTACAAACAAATACTAACAATCCCCCACTTTGTTTGAAAAAACATTTTAATAGTATTATATTTAAAAATAATCTGCAATATGTACAAAATGAGATAAGTATACATATGTAGAGGTATCTTTCGATTTAAACCTTTACTTAGTACAAATACCTCAAAGTTCTATCAAAGTCGTTAGTTGCCTTAACATTAAACTAATTACTCTTTGTGATAGAACCGGAAATATTGTACATACACTAATCTCTTGTTTCAATGAGAATTAATATTTTAGCACTGTTATGGCCTTGTGCTTATTCCTGGTTCATGAACTCTTTAAAGAACAAACCTTTAGTTCTTTTAAGAAGCGGCACCACTTCTAAGTTCATATAGGTGAAACGTCTACAATGTGTTTTCCATTACTTTAAACACACAACAATAATGTATTAGACTTTCATTAAGAGCATAACTCATCCTCTTATTCCGTAATGGACGATATTGACATTATCTTTTAGGGCTTAATGCGTCAATATCAATCAATCACTTTCAGAAACTTGTTATTACCCATTTAAACCATTTAACCAGTTTAGTTCTAGTAAATGGTTGGGTTACCATTCCTGGTGATTTTAAATATAAGGTTTCAGCCCCATTTCACTTGATGTCATCTTTACTACCTCTCTTGCTAGAGGTTTTGTAAATGGATCAGCCAAATTTTTATTTGTCTTGACATAGACAATAGTTATGACACTATCTTGTATCAAGTGTCTCACATATTCATGTCTTAGACTTATGTGTCTAGACTTACCATTATATGTACAATTATAAGCCCTTGACAAAGTGGCTTGACTATCACAATAGATAGAGATAGGAGGCATTGGACTCGGCCATAACTTAATATCTAGCAATAAGTTCCTAATCCATTCAGCCTCCTTACCAGTTGCTGCTAAAGCAATGAATTCAGATTCCATGGTGGAGTGTGAGATACATGTTTGTTTCTTGCTTGCCCAAGAAACTGCTCCTCCACCAAGTGTAAAAACCATTCCAGAAGTGGATTGGTTGTCTCCAACACTAGTCATCCAGCTTGCATCGGTGTATCCCTCTAATACAGCCGGATAATCATTATAGAACAAACACAGATTTTTGGTTTTCTTTAAATATCCAAAAATCCTGGAAATGCTTTTCCAATGTTCTACACTTGGATTACTAGTGTATCTACTTAATTTGCATACAGCAAATGCAATATCAGGTCTAGTACAATGCATGGCATACATTAAAGAACCA